AGGAATGAGGAGAGGGGAATGCTACATTGTTGTTTTACTCTAAATCTCATGTTCAGGTGGGCAGAAACGGAGGCAGCAGCCTCATTTTTGTTAGGATGTTGTATTGCTCGGGCAGCCAGGACTTCTCACCAGAGGTGGGCAAGGCAGGGCAAAGCTGGGGGAAGATAGGCAGATGGGTCCGGGGGACCCCTCGCACAGCGGCGGTGGCTGCTCCCCTCTCTTGCCCCGCAAGCGTGCTTGCCAGCCTTGTCCTCTTCCAGCAGCTGAGCTCTCGCACAAAGCCCTCGGGTGAGCCCCGCCGGCCTCGGGTGTGCGGGGAGCTGCTGGGGGCAATGGGATGGGGGGCGATCCCTGCCCAGGGGACGATTGGGCAGCTGCCCATCTCTTTTAGGCTTTGGCCAGGGCAGGAGGGGGGCAGCTGCCGGTGGAGGGGCGTGCCTGGCCCAGGATGGGTAGCATGGATGGCAGGGTGCTCGCTCGTCCCCGAGGACAGACAGGAGGTGGGGTGGCAGCAGGCCAGGGCACTGTCGCCCCATGGACCGGGACGCTCCACACCAGACACCATGTTTGGGTGAGGATGCCCAGGCAGGGAACCTGGTGCTTTGTCTCTGATGGGCTCAGTGGTGAGGTGAGTCACATGGGAGTTATCTTCCATCAAAACCAGACTTTTTCTCTTTGTTTTCCATTCATGCAAGAGAGCCATAGGGCAGATTTTCTGTGACTGACACACGAAACCTTCACACTGCTGGCACAACGTAAGAGGTTGCAGAGGGGAATTCTGTGAATGCAAAACCCAGGGATGTCATTATGTTGTTGAAACCCGAACCTGGACATCGTTCAACCTCTCCTTCCTCCTCTAAATCCCTCTCCTAAACCTGTTGCTTTGCAGCCAGCCTTCCAGGTTCTCCTGGCTGTCAGTCCACAGCTCGCAAGCTGTTATTTGGCTGCAAAAATAGAGGAGTTAGAAGCCATGTCTGTAAAAGTGAGCATATGTCTAGGAACCAGTGTTCTGGTTGTGTCAGCAAAGCCAGGTAACATTCCTGGGCAAGCAATACTGCAAAAATAGATAACTAAAAATTTATATTTTCTTCTTGGTGATGGCTGGCAGACGTTCAGATTTTCTGTCCAGGAGAGGGGTTAAAGCAGGTCCTCTTGCCCTTTGTTAGTCCCTTGAGAGATGGCTTGGCTTGGTGGGTCTTTGGAGGTGGACACTTGTGTGTGCTGGTGGTCTTCCCTTGCAGGTGTGGAAGGGGAGGAAGAGGAGGGTGATGAAGCTGCCAGAGAGAGACAGGAAGGTGCCACACTTTTTCCTAGTGGGAGTCCTTTGAAGCCTAAACAATCCCTGCTGAAGACCAGCTGCAGGACCATCCCAAGCCTCTTGGGCTTTGCTCTCCTCTTCCTCCTTGCTGTAGTGTGGTCGTACAACATGTGGTTTTCCTGGCAATCCTCATCCAGCCTTCACAAACGTAACCAAGCCTTCACGTTTCTTTACCTAGCAACCACTGCTGTGGTTCATAATACTTTGACAGAAAAACCTGTATTAATTTTTCACGTGTCCAAACCACATATTCCTGCCAGAAAAATATTTCAGTTTAGGCCTGGCTGCAGAAGGTGGGTTTATCTTTGCTTTGTCGGCTCCTTTTTGCAGTTGCTCTGCTTATTATCTGTTCTGTGTTAGCATGCTTCAGCACACGGTAAGGGGGAAAACCAGCAGCAGACTGTCCCTTAGCTTGTTGGCATCAGGTGTCCTCTGCAGATGCATCAGGTATAATGTTCAGCCTGTTAACAGGTAAGTAAAAATTTGCCAGAATTCTAACTCAGAGGCACATTATACCCTGAGAGGTGCCTTAGTTCATTGTCCAAAGTGCCGGTACAGCGGCACAATCCCTCAGCTTTTTTCCATGCCATGAACACCCCCTTCCCTACATAGAGTCACAAAATCACAGAATCATTAAGGGTTGGAAAAGACCTTTAAGATCATCAAGTCCAACCACCAACCCAACACCACCAAGCCCACTAAACCATGTCCTCAAGTGCCACGTCTATAGATGTTTTGAACAGTTCCAGAGATGGTGACTCCACCACCTCCCTGGGCAGCCTGGTCCAATGCTTGACCACCCTCTTGGTGAAGAAATTTTTCCTAATATCTAGTCTAAACCTCCCCTGGTGCAACTTGAGGCCATTTCCTCTCGTTCTATTGCTAATTACTTGGGAGAAGAGACCAACACCCACCTCACCACAACCCCCTTTCAGGTAGTTGTAGAGAGTGATAAGGTCTCCCCTCAGCCTCCTCTTCTCCAAACTAAACTACCATACGCAGGTGTTTCTGTGCACTGACATTTCTAACCCTCAGCTTTTCCTCCCAGAATTTCTCCATTTCTGCCTGCGCAGCGAGGTGGAAGGGCCTGCCTCACCGGGCGAGGAGGACTTTCCTCATCTAATTCAAACCCCCTTATTAAAATAGGTTTTGATGCGCAAGGGGCAGCTGACTCAGGGTAAGGAGGGTAGGAATGAGGCGTTCAAATTCCTCCAGATGCGAAAGCCACCTCTGACCTGGCTGGGGAGGGAAGGGGAGGGGAAGAAGAGAAATACCTTCTTGCTGCTGCCAGGAAAGGCTCCCCGCCGCCCCTGCCAAAGCCCCAGCTGTCCGCGGCTCAGCTGCCGGAGCAGCTTCTCCCGCTCAGCTCTGGGCTCTCGTCTGCACCAGGCAGCCAAAGCAAAGGTGTGATTTCAAATGGGTTTAACTAAGCCAGCACAAATTTCTCATGAATGCAAGACTTCAGAAAAATCTATTCGACTGCTGACAAATGTATATGTTCACATAGGGAAAATTGCTGATCGGTGGGCTGCAAATGGGTGCAGGATTTCACCCAAAGACTAAAAAAGTATGCAAGGCATTGAAAATAAAATAGTCAATAATACATTGAATTTAATGTGATTCATTGTCATTGCATGCAGAGAATAGTATTCATTTTCATGTGGAAATCAATGAAAACCTTCACTTTTTATATTTCCCTGAAAGGTCATAGTTTCCAGACTGGTGTTGTGTACAGATAAAGGGTCCTGTCTCTGGAGTCAGGGTCTGTCCCTGGATGCGTAGGGGCCTCGCTCAGCCGCTCTATAACATATCTCAGATGCAAGCCCTACACAGTCATGAAGTAATATAAACATGTGAGCTTTCTAATAGATACTTAACAGAGGAAGTATTGTAGTTACTGATTTAAAAAGAAGACAATATTCTGATTACATGTACAGTACAGCGGTGAAGTGATTTTATACAGTACATGCGGGGACTTTGGCTTAAATTTGAGGATGAGATATTTATTGCTTGTACAGTTGTGTGATAAATTATTGGCAAGTAGAAGCACAGATGGCTTTCCCTCATCACATGCCACAAATTATCTGGGAATTTGTCATTTTAAAAATAACTCTGGAACAAGTGCCAAGCTGAGAGGGATATCAGTGTCTAATAAACAGAGATAAACACAGCAGTGCTCAAAACTAAAATATATTTGAATTAAACTATTAGGAGAGAGAACATATACAATTAGCAGCTATTCTGTAGCAGTACAAATGAGATACTGTATTTCGTCTGTCACTTTCTCATCAGGAAATTCAAATAATATTTTTGGTGCATATTTAAGCCCCTGTGGAGTTAATGGCTGGAATAGTCATGTTAGATTCTTATGTTACAGCTCCTAAAAAAAAAAAAAAAACACATACCGGAAGAAAGTTAAGCACAGTTATAGGCAGACAATTTTTTTTAACTGGTTTTCAAGGTGGTGACATGTTTAGTCCCTGAAGTGGCTGAGCTCCGGTGCAGCCGTCGCTCCTATTGTCTTCTCCAGCAACCGCGTGTGCTTCACAGCTTGGAAAGGCAAGATCCTGGCGCCGGCCGAAACACACAGGCAAAATTACGTCGTGTATCTCACCGCCACGGCTGCTTGCTCAAAACAGAGTATTTATTAGGCTGCAGCGTGTGGCTGGGCAGACTGGGCAGCCCTACGCTCTCCGCCGTGGTACAGAGATAAGGGAAGGAGCGGATTGCATTTGCTTATCGCTCACCCTCCTCCTCCTGAAGGGATGAAGGCTGCCATGTGTGAGTGAGGAGAGCCAGGGCCCCGCCGGCCGCCCCCCCGTCCCCCCGCCAGCCGTCACCTGTCCCAGCCCGTCC